GTCAGTTGCAACCTCAGTACTTATGTATTTGCTGATTGTGCTTTTATTGTTTACCTTCGCAGTTGTATGACTTAGCTTTATGATTCTGTTCGAGATCTTTGTCGTGGTCAGATCTTTGTATCAGTTGCTCTGAATAAATTCGTCTTTTTTAAAAACAGTTTATTACGGTGTTGATTCATAATTCACATTTGCTTCTTCTTTGTGACAGAGCTTAACGAATTTTAAAAAATTCGACTTTTCTAAAAATTCTAAATAAGCTTAGAAACCACTTCCTTCTGTCAACTTACAAGAATTTTCAAAGTAAAACTTGGAAATGTTTTTTTGATTTTGATGTGTTCTGCGAAAGTTTTTTTATATAAGTTCTTCCATACCTGACAATGTAGAATGTTGTTTTGCACCCAGTTTAATAGCCAAAAATATACTCGAAAAAATATACAATAAATTCGAACAGTCTCACTTTTAATTCTCCTTTGACTTAAAAGAAGTTTCAAAATTCGGCATGAAAGCTATATTTTTATTCATATTGGTTCTGTGAGTTTTTTGATATCAGTCCTTCCAAATCTGACAATGTAGAATGTTGTTTTGCACCCAGTTTAATAGCCAAAAATATACTCGAAGTTCGTCCCACTTTTGATTCTTCTTTGTATGAACTTAAACAAATTTTCCAAATTTTAATTCATATTTGTTCTGTATGGTCTTTTTGAAAATGTCCGTTCTTCCAAAGCTGACAATGTTGGTTTGCACGAAAATTAATAGCCAAAAATAGTCCAACTTTTGCATGTTTTTTGTGTAAACTTTAATACTTTCTTAGAATGAGGCTTACAATTATTGTTTTCATTATGTGTTTTGTCAGGCAATTAAAAAATAATAATTTTGCACCTTTTTCTTGTGTACCATGTTTTGCAACGAAAAACATAATTTTTTTATAATTTTATTTATAATAAGGATTTCTTTATAATTAATTTAACAAGCAAAGTCATTATTTATAAAAGCTTTGTAAGATGAGATATAGATTAAAAAAAAACCAACATAACAATATGGCATCGATCTATCGTGAAAAAGCAACTTTTAAGAAAATAATAATTTCAAATAATTGCATTTTCTTTGTTTCCCGTTAAGTAAGGATCTACTTAATACAAATCGCGAAATATCAGTTTTGGAGACGTAAGAACACCTGAAGAAATGTTGTGCAGTGTGTTTTAATGAGATTTTAGATTTTTCCTGTATAAACCGTCCCATTGAAATAAATTTTCTTTGTTTACACACACAATCTTTCTTAAATCTAAGACTAAAATGTCATTCATTTTAGTCTTTAAAAAATTATTTTTTTTCAAATGTAAAAGAGCAGTAGTTCTTATAGTCTTACTCAGTGTTAAAATTCGCTATTATTTTCAAAAATTCTGGAAAAATTTGAGCTTTAATGAGAGAAATTGCCCACGTAGTTTTCGGAGATATGTCGGCTTTAAGTGAGAATTATTTGTTTTTACTATATTTACAAACAACATCTCAAGAGGAATTTTGAGGTCAATTTTGAAGGTACTTAAATAACTTCCAAACAAAACGTCGCCTGCAAAATGTACACACAAATCCTAAATCCATTCATCCATAGTAAAAACATCGAAAACTGCAGTCGATTAACAAAAATTTCATTCCGAAAAAAATGTGTTTCCTTCGAAGTTTTATTCGCTTAAAACTCCGATTAAAATCAGCAGCCGCCACTGACCTAAAAAAATTGAGCGCCTAATTCGATTCGACATTGTAGCGTAGTTTGCGCTATTTCTAAAAAATCCGCTGAAGAAAGCACCCATCGCCAACCAGCAGAAGACGCACTTCCCGATCAACAATCGACTCCTCATGATCATAAGAACACATCCCGATGGGAATCTTCGTCTGCTTCTTCGGCGTGCTGCTTCAAAAGGGGGCTGCCGTCACTGACGCGCGTCTTGCTCCCCCTGTGGCTGTTCCGGCCGGAAGGAAATGGGGGCGCAATTGGCCCGCAAGGGGTGCACGGCGCCGACCTCGACAACCATCTTTTCGAGAAAACTGTAGACAAAATCCCTGAAATGGTGTTGGTTTGAGATTCGCCCCACTTACCTGAAGGGATGGCTTTGCTTTGACTGGCATTACCGGAATTGACTGTCTGGACGTCGCCGAGAGGCATGTACAGGGTCTTCGCCCTCACTCTGTGAAAGTAGGCCCTGCTATGAGTGCTTCCAGACGTTGCGGGCGGGTTGGGGCTCTTCTGAACGGGCAACTGCTGGATCTTATCCAGCAGCTCTCTCATCTCCACAGTGGGCGAAGTGGCGCGCGGAGGCGAATCTGGAGTGCCTATTTCATATCACCAACCCCATTATTCAACCAATGTTTCGAACATACATGAAATCCCGTACTGTACTCACCCAGATTTGCCAGGCTACTAATATCCGAACCGGTCATGCTGTTGGTTACGCCCAAGTCGTGGAGAATGGTGGTAGCTTGCGGGTGGGCAGGTTCTCCCGAATGGGGCGCGCAGATGGAAAGATTCAAAAGGGCAGAAAACAGTTCCTCATCCTCTGTCGAGTCCTGGCTGCGCTGCAAAAGAGGACGGCGCGTCCTCAGCACCGGCCGTTCTCTGGTTGTGGGAGGAGAGATCACCGTTGAGGCCAATAGAGTTTTACTCACTGAAATTCTTCAGTTGCTTCAAAGCGCATTGAACCCATGATAATACAGACCTAGTTTTGATTCTTCACGCGAAGGCTTCATAGTTACGCTGCCTAGATTCGTCGTGTTGCTGGAGTTTTGATTAGTTGCAGGTATGGGAGGGCGCAAATGAACGGCCGCAATCGGAGTTAAGGGTGTTGAAGGGGGTTTGGGCTGCAGTGAAGCGCTGGGACTGTGTTGGATAACCTGGACATCAAAATTCGGTTCAGATTTTTCGTGTTTTATGAGGGATGAGGGAGCGTGTCCTAGCGGTCCTAATAAGGCCAATTAGCAGAGCCGTAGCAGGAGCTCGTAATGTAATAAGTCCTACACGATCAGTCAAGGTAAGACTTAATTTAAGAGGATTGAACAGTAGAAGGGCGGCTATTGCACCACTGCTCACCAGAAATATACGTTTTGTTAAGAAACACACACATAAATTGGACCTTCGCTGACTGGAAGAGAGAGAGGTCTCCAAGAAGCCCAGATATGAATCATATAGACCTGTAGAGCATCTATGGGATGCACTTAAACAATCGACCTGCTCCTATGAATCGTAGGGAACTCGAGCAAGCGATGCTTTTCGAATGCCAAAGCATTATTTCCCAATAGACCAACAGTAATAAAATCTACAGGAGAAACTACACGCTACTAAATTAAAATTMTTGCCATTTAATTTCTTCTCAATTTTTTAYGCGTTTTGATGAAAGGATTTTTGTTTCATTTGGCGCTACTGTTTCTTTCGGTTTGTTACCTTATTGACATTTTTTTATCAGATTACAYCATTATAATTTGTCATAAATAAGTAGAAAACATTTAACTAAAACATATCACGTAGGTTGTATGATTTGAAACTTAAAAACTTTGAAAATATAGAGAAAATAATGAAAACTTTTTACGATCTCTTTTTGATGCGTTAG